GTGTTCAATCACGCATTTTTTAAAATGTGGACTCAAGTCTCTCTGCTGAGTTAGAGATGACGGTGAACTGACCTGGGACTCCCTCGTGGTCGAGCGTGGGGTCTCCCTCACTTCCCAGGGCCCAAGAGGGCTCTCAGGCCCGCACCCCCACTGTTCGCTCCTGTGCAGAGCAGGTGGGCCCTTCTCTATAGGTTCTGTCTGTGGTCACTGGGTCTCTATTTCCCTCCAGAGTCTGAGCCATAGGCCACAGATGATCCACCTCCCCACCAGTGGTCCCTAGGACCCTTTGTTCCCCCCACCCCGGCGCACCCCCCACCCCCAGACACCCCTCCTCTGGGCACATTTTCGCAGCCATCTTCTCCCTTGATTCTCCCTGCCCTCCTAGAAGATTGGCCCAAGCAAACATCAACAGCTTATTTTACAGATGGATAAATGGAAGCTTTTGGTGCCAAATAATTGATGCTTTCATTGTGGTGTTGGAGAAGACTCTTGAGAGTCCCTTGGACAGCAAGGAGATCAAACCAGGCGGTCCTAAAGAAAACCAACCCTGAATATTCATTGGAAGGATTGATGCTAAAGCTGAAGCTTCAATACTCTGTCCACATGATGAAAAGAGCTGACTCATTGGAAAAGACTGATGCTGGGAAAGACCGAAGGCAGGAGGAGAAGGGGGTGACAGAGGATGAGATGGTTGGATGGCATCACCGACTCAATGGACATGAGTTTGAGCAACCTCCAGGAGATAGTGAAGGACAGGGAAGCCTGATATGCTGCAGTCCACGGGGTCGGAAAGAGAAACAACTTAGCAACTGAACAACAACAACAACTTCGAGTATGCCCAGGCAGTACAGCTACGGCCCTGGAACCATCCTTAATTCCAGGCCCTCTGTCTCCTGGTCCACTCTGCCTGGGAGGGGAGGGAGGAGACGCTTCGAACAGACCTTTAGTGTTCTCTCATTGCCCAGGGTCTGGAAATCTTCAGTGAGCAGGGCATATTTGACTTGGAAAAATAAGCTCTCTCCCTTTGGGTGTTTTGAACTGCTGGTATTTAAATGCCTTCATAGCCTCAGGGCAATGGGACTGTGTATTCTGTCTTTTGCAAATGAATGTGAACTGGAGTGTTTGTGAGTGACCTTTAAGCCGTGGTCCTCCTCACTCCCCCTGCCTGCCAGCTGGGTAATCCTCGGAGCCCCCGTGTCCCCAGGCTCTGCCACCGTGGATGACTAAAGAGCAGGACAATTATAATCCAAGTAATGAGATCAGAGGTCCCCGGTTACTATTTAATTTAGAGCTGGTGCCAAGGAGCTTAAGCAAGTTCTCAGGAAGGAACTCAGAAGCTGCAGACTTGCCTCTGAAAGGGCCCTGGGGCAGCACCCTCTTCGGAGTCTTGGCCTGGGGAGGCTCAGAAGTGGCAGCAGGGCCAGCCGGACTCTGTCTCCTGCTCTCCTGGCCCCCAGGCCGTGGCCCGGGCAGTGCCCCCTCCTCGGATGCCCTCCGCCCCCACCTCTGCCCGCTGAGATCCCTTCACGGACCTCCTCCTCTTGCGAACACGCTGCTGTCCCCTCCTCTTGCGAACACGCTGCTGTCCCCTCCTCTTGCGAACACGCTGCTGTCCCCTCAGTGACCAGCGACTCATAGGCACTCCCTGTCTCTGCGCCTTTCCTCTCCCTGGACCGCCCCCTGGCTGGAAGCAATGCTTTTAGCCTGGGTGTTGATTCCCCTGAACTTGACCTTGACTCAGTGATATTTGCATCACCAGGGACTTGTGGTCCAGGGAGAATCAATCATGGTCCGACCTCAGGGAGCACCCAGGCTGGAACGGGGCGGCATGTGAATAAAACAGGGAGAGGGTGGGAAGTGTGTGTGGATGCTGGGAACAGGGCCCCTCATCCCCATCTCTGCCCGCCTCCACCCTAGGACCTTGCAGTGCCTGGAGGAAGAGCAGGTGGAGCCCATCCCCTCACCCTACCGACCTGGGGGCTCTGGAGATGGAGGATGGCAAGCTCTGAGGGCGGAGACCTTCCCCAACCTGGGGTGGTTTGGCCTCCTGCTCCTTCACCACGACCCAGGGGAGACCAGGCCCCAGACTCAGAACGCGGAGCAGATGAAAAATGATTAAGCCTGGAGCCGAGTGCCCCTGATCGCATCCCAGCCCAGCCAGACCCAGCCAAGGTCAGCCAAGCCCCAGACCCGGAGCAAGAAAAACACATTTGGTCGCTGTAAGCCACTAAGATTTGGGGGACTCTTTGTTACAGAGCATCATCACAGCAGGAGCTGACCGACACAGCAGAGACGTGCACGTGTCTGGAGTGGGGAAAAGACCGAGACAGATGCAGCCCTGAGGGGCAGCTTGAGTTGGGATGAAATGACGAAGGACACCCCGCAGGCAGATTTTGCCCTTGGCATAGAAGCTGGAGGGAGGCTGAGCAGAGGTGGGCACCAGCCAGGAGCTCGGTCCCCGGGTGTGTGAGCCGAGATCTGACTCCAGCAGCAAGCTTGTTGGTGTGGCCGGCAGGTACCTAGGGTTGTAGCTGAAGCGTCTCTGCTTCAGGCCCGCCTCCCTCTCTGTGTTAAAGTACGCACACAGTGGCACTGTTTACTGAGTTGCATCTTTTTCCAGAACTTTATTCTTTGCAGTAAAGCCGAGTGGTTGGATGTGTAAGACAGTGTCTGTGAGGCACGTGGCCCCAGCCTGGCATTTGGTCACTGACACAGGAGGTCGCTGTCGCTAAAGCAGGAACATGCTTGGTTTCAGGCCTTCGCTAAGACACTCCCTAAGACCTTGTCGTGGGTCTGCAGACAGCCACCACCTCCAGTGCCCCAAGCCTCCTGGGCATCACAGAGGCATCTCTGGGGGACAGGCTGGCTTCAGAGGCTCTGGAGGACAGAGGCTGGGTGTCCAATGCACATGCGATGTGCGTGCTAAGTCGCTTCAGTCGTGTCCGATTCTGTGACTCTATGGACTGTAGACCACCAAGCTCTTCTGTCTAGGATTCTCCCAGGCGAGAATACTGGAGTGGGTTGCCATTTCCTTCTCCAGGGGATCTTCCCCACCCAGGGATCGAACTTGCATCTTTTATGTCTCCTGCATTGGGAGGCAGACTCTTTACCACTAGCACCACCGAGACGGGAGCCAAATGAGCCAGAACTCGGAACGGAGGTGCAGTTCCCACGTGAAGTCCAGTGCCTTAACTTCGGATTTCAGGGCCTCGCACGTTCCCACAGCTGCACCCACCCCTCTGGAAGATGGACCCAAGTGCCCTGGACCCAAACGCACCAGCCTGCTCTGGGAGCCAGAACACTGCCGGGCTGGGCAGCACCGGGTGTTGGGGAGGACAGAGGGGTAGTCACGGGATTTGGCACCATGGCTCCAGCCAGACTGGGTTGGTGTGAGCGTCAGAGGCAGAGGGGCCGTGCCTTTGTGCGTGCACGCTCTTGTGTGTGTGTGTAACACTGACAAGCACTGTTGCACAGCTACTGTGCGCCAGGCTCTGCACTGGCGAGTGCTGGCCCTCGGGGCACAGGGCCAAGTGCAGAAGAAATGACCCTGGTGTCAGAGCCTTACCCTCCCCTGAAGGCTGCCCCAGGCTCTGTGTCACACTTCCTGCCCCAGCGCTCTGAGACTCCGCCAGCAGCCCCCCAGCACAGGCAGCGTCTCCCACTTCATGGGGGAGTGGACGGAGGTGTAGGGGGCCGAGCTTTGCCAAGGTTCACACCGATGGGGAGCAGCAGCATCAGGAGCAAGCCCGAGCCAGAGTCCCAGCCCGGTGGTGACAAGACCCAGGTGCTGGTCCCAGTGACTCAGGCTGCACGGGAGGACTGGGACTCATACAGAGGCTGGGGGAGGCGTGCTGGGTTTACTGGGTCGGTGAGGAGGCGAACGGCCCCTGAGCAGGGCCAGGATGAGGGGCCCCAGCTCCTGGGAGGTGACTCTGAGGGACCATGCAGGTGGGGAGGACCGCAAGTGGGTGGGCGCAGACTCTGGGCATGGAGGATCCTTGGGTATTTGCAGGAAGGTTGTGCTCAGTCCGAGACCCGGAGGTTGCCCAGCGTTTTTCCACTGATCATCACAGAGCACCTCCCTCTGCAGACTGGCCTGACCCTTCTTCCTGCAGCCATATGCCTGGGCCACTCGCCCGACAGCCCCCCGCGCTCCAGCCAAGCCAGCACAGCTGCAGGAGTTGGCCATGACAGGAGCCAGCTCACTCTCAGGTCACAAAAAATCATCGCGATGAACCCCACTCCCCGGGTGAGTCCCCGCAGTGTGCCCAAGAAAGGCCCTGGCAGCCCTCGCCAGGGTCTGGCTCGTCCCCCAGACCCCCAGCACCTACCCTCCTCTGATGAGAGGGGTGGACAAGACGGTCAGCATGACGCCCCCACCCCAGTCCGTCTCTCTGCTGTCCCTGTCCCAGGCCTGTTAGGAGATCGCGTTAGCACCGATCACCTCGCCTTTAGGTAAATATCCTGCCCTGCAATTAGGCATAGAAACCCATCTAAGCAGAAAGGCAGGTTTGCCAGCCCCTCCAAGCCCCAGGGACGGAAGTGCGGGGCTCAGGACCCATCCAGTCCAGCTCAAGGCCCAAAGTAGCGTCTTCTACTGAAAGGTCTGTTTCTGTAAACCGTGCAGAATGACACAGAATCAGGGGTGCCCCCGGAAAGCATGTGTCCTTGGGACATCTCCCCATCTTCCTAGAGAACCCTCCCCCATGTTTTCAGAAGGCCGGCTGCCCGCTTCCCATCAGCGGCAGGAATGCGGTCCTCTGTCCTTGGGCCCACCCCCGGGAGCAGGAAGGGGAGCCTTTCTTCTCCAAAGCTTCCAGTCCCGTTGGCAACCCTGTGCGGCACTTGCCTTCAAAACTTTCCAGCCTGTGCTTCCGCAAACCCATTAACCTGAACCTGCAGCCGGCTTCCAGTTAAACCCCCAGGACTCTGACATTTCCTCGCTGGCAGGGCGTCTTCAGAGCTGCAAAGGGCAGGCTGCTGCCCACCCAGCTGGGGGTATGGAAGGGGAAGGGAAGCTGACGCTGTGTCAGGGTTCCCGGGAGCTGAGGGCAGACACAGAGTCCCCCGCCTCCCCCCGCAAAATCCCCTTCCACTCTCGCACCCACAGCTCGCCTCCTCCGGGACCTGAGAAGACGTCCCCTTACCTGTGCGGAGACTTGTCACTCTGTAGCAAGTGGAGGGTACCTCCGGGTGTCCCGGGCGCCCGCCTCCAGCCCCTTCCTGGGGAGCAGCCCCCGCCCCACTCCCTGACACACGTCCCAGGTTGGGGCACGTGTTGTGTGCGGGCAGGGGGCAGAGGTGCCTCCAGGAGCCAGGCTGGAATATTCCTGGCTGCCACCCGCCACCGGCCTGTCCTGGGGGGCCAGCTGCCAGAGCGGAGATGCTCCGGCCGGTCCGGGCCCGCCGTCATCTGCCAGGAGCGCCAGGCGTCAGCTTTCGCTCACCAGGCGCCCGCCGGCTGCTCCCAGGCTGAGGCGAGTGGTTTATTTTTAGAGCCCGGCCCTTCCCCAGACGCCAGGATTCCAGCTGAGATTTCCAGCGGCTCAAACTAGCCTGTTCTGGGCTTTACTGGGAAGGTTCTGGAAGAGAGAGATGGAGGCTTTCAAGGATGCGGTCCTCAGTGTTCCCATCTGAGAAGGGCAGGGCTAAACTGGCGGTGTCTGAGACCCTCGGGTGAGGAGGATGGCTCCGACTCAGGGCCTGGGCTGGGATTCGGCTTCCCTCTGGGGCTCCCTCGGTTTCTCCTTCCAGAAGATGCGAGCAGAGAGGGCACTCCTGTCCGGAGCAGGGCCGGGACCAGAGAACGGGCTGGAACGAGGGGCAGCCAAGACCCGCTCTGCACGTCTCCCCAGCCGCACTGAGGTCCCAGGAGGGCGGGGACCTGTCGTCTTCACCGTCATAACCCCACGTGTCTGCTCCAGAGTCGGTGCCCATAGTAGGTGCTCGGGAAACATGCAGTGAGGAAGGGAACACAGGCCCAGGTCCCGGTGGCACCTTTAGGCTCCTGAATGCCTGCAGGGTCTCGGGCGTCAGCGCTCTCGGCAGGCGTGTGGCCCCAGGCCTGGACAGGCGAGGCGCTGGCCTCGGTCCGCTGCCTGGAGGTGGTAGTGCTCGGCTCCCTGGGTGCGGGGTGTGTGGCTCAAGCCCAGGTCACTCCCTGTCCCACCTGCAACCCTGGATCGCTCCCCTTGGCCAGGCCAGCGGGAGCCTCACAAGCTGCCCCCTCCAACACCGAGCGCCGTAAACCTCACCCCCTTCTCGCCACCCACAGCCCCTCTCCCAGGAGCTGTAGGACCCAGCATGGGGCCGCGCTGCCTTATTCATCTGTCCATTGCCCCAAGGGAGGACTCAGCCGGCTCTGGACATCTCTACTGCGCAGGAGGCCTCCGCACAGCTCTTGACCTGTGGCAGCCTGGCTCTCCCCTCCGTCAAGCCAGGCAGCAATGCCATTCCTGGAGCAGGTGGGGCTGCAGGGGCGAAGGGGAAGGCGCCGGGCACCCAAAGGCCCAGCAGCGTCTGCTCGTCCGCTTTGCCTCAGCTTATCGGGAAAGAACGTCTTGATCTCTGGGTTTGTCTGTGTGCACACGTGTGTGTGTGTGTGTGTGTTGGCTGAATGTGCTTGAGCCCCAGTGCAGGGAATGTGAGCCAGTGCCCCTCACTCCCTGGGCATAGCCCCTTTGCAGACGTGCGGACCCAGCTGTCCTGCCCACACCTCCACCACCCTGTTCCTCGGGTGTCACTGCAGCCCCCCAGGCCAGCACCTCCTCTTCTGTACAGAGGAGCCTGGTTGGCCAGTCTCCCAGAGCCCCGAGAGGCCTGGGACTGGGAATACCCACCCCCCTGCCCCCACCCCAGGGAACAGGAGGCAGGCTGCCTGGAGACTGGGGTGCAGCTGCAGCCATTGGGGTCCCCTTCCCGGAAGACAGAAGGAAGCCCACCCAGGGCCCCTTCCAGGCCTCAGGGCTGCTTGCAAGCAGGAGAGGGTCTTAGCATCTTAACCAGGACCGTCGATCCCGGGGCTAACCAGGCCCAGCCAGTGGCCCCTTCGAGGACCCAGCCTGTAGTCTGCAGCAGCTGACATGCCCCTTTGAGGCTGGTCTCCCCAGTTCTCTTCAGTTCCTGTTCGTGGGTCAAATGAACAAATCCCCCAAAAGAAGAGCTCAGTGAACTGGGGCTGTCTGTGAGATGTCACGCTGTATAGTCATTTCAAAATGTTCTCTGAATCATATTTAATATTCTGGGCAGTGTTCACAGTGTGAGCAATGTGACTACAGTAGATTGCAAACTGTCACCTTGAAGATGCCCAGTGATGGACACGGTCCATCCCGGCAGGCACAGGGCAGCCCCCTCCCAGCCCGGCCCTTCACCTGTGCGCCCTGCTGCCTTGCTTCCTGCGGCGGCTCAGTTGACGCTTGGGGGAGGTGATGATGACCATTTGGTGAAAGGGTGGATGGGTTCCTTCATCCAGCTACCCAATACTGCAGAGCACCGACTGCACCCACAGTACAGACTGTCTTCTCAGTGCTGGGCTCCCAGGGAGAGTCGGACGGCCGAGGGCCCCGCTCTGCAGGGTTTGCATCAGACAGGTGATTCCAGGTACTGAGATGCAGAGGACAGGAGAGCAGCCCCCGAACGCTGAGATGAAAAGACGAGGCTGGGCCCTCTTGCTCGCTCGTCTGCAGCCCGCAGGCTCCCAGCCTGACCTGCTTTGCCCGCGCCACGTGCCGGCAGCATCTCTACCACTCCCTGCTGCCTGAGGTCCTGCCCCTGCTCATAGGACTCAGGCTAAGCCCGGGCGCTCTGTGCTCTGGTCTGAGCATCGGCGAACCCGGGGGACGATCACCCTCCGGGGACAGAGCCCTGAGCACCCACCTGCCCTCTTGAGTCCTGATGCCCTGCGTCTGGGCACCCGATGGGTCCCTGGGTTCTCTCCAGTGCACCCTACCCCAACCAGGACACCTCACCTGTCTGTGATTTGATGGTCACAACACTCTAATCCAGGCTCAGCCCAGGATTTCTATTACTGGGTCCCCCTTTCTCTGGGGACTGTGAAAATCACCCCCCAACACCGCCCCAGCAGAGAGGAAAGAGAGGGTGGCAATTGACCTCCCAGCTGCAGGTCTAATTCCAGCCCATCTTGCTCCCCTGTCCCCACGGGAAGTGGGAGGGGCGGGAGAGACAGACGCAAGGTGAGACAAGGCAAGAGATACATGGAGAGAAACATGGAGTTAGGAACAGATGGGGCTGGAGGGGGGCGACAATGCCCAGAAAGCGATGGCAGAGGACAGCCTGCGTGCCTGCCCACCTGACCTCAGACTATGAGTTGAGATGGTTTTCTGGTTCAGGTCCGTGTGGTGGTCCATTTTACAGATAAGAAAGCCAAGGTTAAACGGTCAGAGTTAGATGCCTGTGCCCCCAGCCACTGCACTGACAGCCTCTCTCTATTCCTTTGTGGCACTCATGTGCCTTTGCCAGCCTTCCTGGTGGTGGTGAATGCTCGCATACCTCCAGCAATGGGGAGCTCACTATCCGACACGCAGCTCCTCTGTAGTCACAGTGCACGCCTCCAGCTGTGCCCCCCCCGCCTTCCCATCTCAGCGGCTCAGGGAGCAGAGCCTCTGCCCCAGCCTTGGGAGCTCCGGTTCACCCCTGGGCCTTACGTCCATGTACCTGGGCTTTTTGAAACTTTCAGTAGAACCCACTCCTGTGCCTTTAAACCACTTCTCCTGAGTCAGAATGGCTAGCAGCCCCCACGCGTGTTCTAAAGCCTACATGTTACTCACAAGCACTGGTCCCCAACATAAACAGTTGGTCTGTTTACTTATGAAGTGCGGGTTGACCCCATTCTGGAAGGTCAGGCCAAGTCAGCAGGGCCCCGTCTGTCTTGTTCACGTCTGGGGGGTCAGTCCTGACCACTGCTTGGCACATACCAAGCAATCAGTGGACATTTACTGCCAATTGGGTGATCTGGCGGAAGAGGGAAGACACACATCCCTGGTGCCCCAGACAGAGACCCCTTCTCCTGGCTCCCTGCCCTCCTGGCCGCCTCCACACAGGAGGCTCCTCCGTGGCTCAGTCTCCCCTGCCCTGAGCCCACCCTAGCTCAGGGTCATCCAGCCCAGAGATGGGATTGGAGGGGGACAATGCATCATCAGAAGGAGCCCAGGGACCAGCATGGGGCCCAGATCAGAACAGGTGCACCATTTACGGAGAAGACTGTACTTTCTCTGCCCTTTTATTTTTCTTCATTTAAAAAACTCTCTATTCTTAAGTATGGATAATTTTTTATTGGTCTGTATTGTTTCCGCATCATCTCTATCAATACACTGTGATGCCCATGTAGTGAATTTTTCATTGCAGTTGTACACTTTACTTCTAGAGTTTGCATTTTTAGTAGTTTTTACTCTTCTGGTGAGTTTTCCTACCTGTTCACTCATTAATATCATATTCTTTAATTTCTTAAAGACACTTTTCCTTTAATTCTTTGAATGTATTTGTAACAGCTACTTTAAAGTCTTTGTCCACTAAGCCCAATGTTGGAGTCATCTCAAGTTTAATTTCTATTATTGTCCACTTTTTCCCCTTAACTGTCCGTCTCACGTTCCTGTTCTTTGTGTTTCTAGCAATTTTTTAATTGAATTCTGGGCATTGTGAACAACATATTGTAGAGATAGTAGAGTCTACGATCATCCTGTAAAGAGTGGTTCTTGTTTTAGCAGGCAGTTATTCTATCAGCTGACTCAGCTTACACTTTGTTCACGTGAATATGGAGAAAGCCAGCTTGTTTCCTCAGTTCCTCTTGCATGCGTTTGTCCAATTCTTTGTGACCACATGGACTGTAGCCCACCAGGCTCCTCTGTCCATGGGATTCTCCAGGCAAGAATACTGGAATGGATTGCCATGTCCTTCTCTAGGGGATCTTCCCGACTGGCATCTGCAGCGGCTTCTGCAGGCAGATTCTTTCTTCAGGAGACGCGGATTCCTCTTAGTTGGCAAGAATTACCTCTGAACCCTGTTTTCCTTGCAGATCTTCTGGGGACTTGGTTTTAAGCTTTATTAGTCAGACACAACTTAGCAATCGAACAGCAAAGGAGGAGTCCAGTGTAACTCTTACCTTAATACATGGTTCCCACTCTTAAGACAAAGCCTCTGCGGGGTCTCAGCTGCATGTTGAGAGTATTAATGAAGTGTGAAGACTCCTCTGTTCTGGCCAGGCTGAAAGTGCAGTATTCCCTGTTCTTCCCCAGTTTAACTCAGACCTCCAGTGCTTCTAGCTTGCTTGCAGTTCCGCAGGGTCCACTCTCTGAAAGTCTTAGGTGGTCTTGCTCTGAGCACCGACAGAACGTCCTCCAGCCGTGTTCTCAACAGGAGACCCCACGTTGAGTTCTGGGCCCGCTATGTGCACGGTCCCCTCTTCTCTGATGTCTAACTCTGCTGGCCCCAGCTGCCCTGACTTCTGACCACTGTTTCCTCAGCTCACCGTGGCCACTGAGCTCGGCTTAGGTCCCTGGGCTGCACCTAGGAAGCTCTCCCCTGGAAGGGAACTGGTGGC